TGACTATTTGATGACAGGAAAAATGAGTTGATCTTTTAAAATTCTCTTTAAGATGAAGGGGATGGTACCCCTAGATCTCCAGAAACCCACAGATGAATGTGGGAGTTGGCAAAGTATGACAGTAGAAAGACCAAAAGCTCTGGAGTCCTGGTGATCGAGGTCCAGGTAGCAAACTGCTGCCTGCTGGCTTTGCCACCCTGGGGAAGGTATTGAATTTCTCTGAATTTCAGTGTTGTCAGCTATGAAACAGAGTAATTTCTGCATCATCAGACTGTTCAGTGAATGAAAGGAGACCATGCATGTTAGTGACACTAAGTTAATGCTGGCCTTCCTCTATTTCTAGTTAGTAGCCTTAGAGACCCATGTGAAACACATTATTCTGTTAGATGGTAAAGGTCCCTTTTTCCATTCTCTCTATTTTTTCAAATTATATTTTATTGATTATGCTATTCCAGTTGTCCTGATTTTTCCACTTGGCCTTCCCCCACCCAGCATGACCCACTTCCTTAGGGAATCCTCCACCACTGTTCATGTCCACGGGTCATGCATATAGGTTCTTTGGCTACTCCATTTCCTATACTGTTCTTTACATCCCAATGGCTGTTCTGTAAGTACCTATTTGTACTTTTTAATCCCCTCCCCTCTTCACCCATTATCCCCCTCCGTGTTCCCATCTGGCAACCTTCCAGTGACTAACTCCTTTTCTCTTGCTTTTAAGAGTCTCTCTTTAGCTTTAACCTTTTGCCTTTGAATAATGATGTGTCTTGGAGTGGGCCTCATTGCATCCATCATAATTGGGACTCTGCACTTCCTTCACCAGATTAGGGAAGTTTTCTTTCACTGTTTTTTCATATAGATTTCCAATTTATTGCTCTTTCTCTTCTCCTTCTGGAACCCCTATGAGGCAAATGTTGGACTTCTTAAAGTTGTCCCAGAGGCTGTTTACACTGTCCTCATTGTTTTGGGATTCTTTTTCTTGTTCTTCCTGTGTGGTTGTTCTTTTGTGTCCATGTGTTCCAAATCATTGATTTGATTCTCAGCTTCATGCACTCTCCTGTTCTTTCCCTGTAAATTGTTCTTCAATTAGTGTGTTCTACGTTTCTGGCTGGGACTTTTGTATGCTGAGACCGATGCTGAGGTCCTCACTGAGTTTGTTGAGCATCCTTATAAACAGTGTTTTCAGCTGTGCATCTGATTGCTCATCTCCATTTCATTTAGCTTTTTTTGGGGGGGTGGAGTTTTGACCGGTTTTTTCCTTTAAGCCATGTTTCTTTGTCACGTTGTTTTGTCAGCCTCCCTGTGTTTGTTTCTGTGTATTAGGTAGAACTTCTTTGACTCTGTGTCTTTTTAGTGTGGGCTAATATCATAGGTGTCCTCTAGGACCCTGTGGCACAGCCTCCCCATCACCCAAGCTGGGTACTCAAGTTGCACCCTTCATGTGGGCTGAGTACAGCCTCCCCTTGCAGTTGAGCCTTGGTGTTGGCAGATCAATGGGAGGGATTTACCCAGGCCAGTCAGCTGCAAGGACTGGCTGTGAACACTGACCACCAACCTCTGCCCTCCATGGAGGATCAGCTGTGCAGGGGCAGGTTGGTGGGACTCCAGCCGGGTCTGTAGCTGCCCATGGGGTGCGTTGGCCCAGAGGTTTCCAGGGTGGTGCAAGCCAAGGTTAGTCCCCACCCATGTTTTGCCTGGGGCACCCTGCCTGAGCTGTAAAGCCATGTGAGATGGCTGCTTCTTGTGCTGGGCTTGGGGATGCCCAGGTGAAGCCCAGCTGTGACTCTAATCTGGCTGCTACTTGGGCTCACTGAAGCCAGCTGTTGCTTGTTTGGTAGGCTTTAGGAGCCAAGACCAGCCATTCTTGTGGAGAAACAGCTTGGGTGAGCCCTTAAGTTGGGTGAGATAGAGTCTCTATGGATCTCCATGGTGGGTCACACAGTGTTAGCCAGGTTGATGGAGTCTCAGATGTGGCACCAGCCTACCAGCTCTGTGGAGGGAGGGCTTGGTTCAGCAAAGGGACAATGGCCTTTGCTCACCCTGATTGCAGACACTTCAGTCTCTCCTTGTATACCACCGGTGCCCTTGAGGCTGCCCCCATTTCAGTGCTAGAGCTCAGAGGGAGTGGGTTTGGGTAGGTGAGTCCATGTGTGAGTTTTCCAAGAGGAACTGCTTAGGGCTCTAACAGTTTCCTCCACCAACTCAATACCCACTGATGTGCACAGCCAGAAGTTGTGGGGACTTATCTTCCTGGCACTGGATTCTGGGCTGGGAACCTGGTGTGTGTGTGGGTCTGGGACTTCTGGCTCCCAAGATATCCCTCCTGAATTTTTATTCACAGGGGTCTGGGGCCATACTTTTCCACGTTGGTGTTCGTACCTGCACCCCTGCTACTAGTCTGGATGGATGTGGTTTCTTCAATTCTATAGTTGTCAGACTTCCATTCAACTCAATTTCTGATGTTCCTGAGTGATGGTTATTCTATATTTTAGTTGTAATTTTGTTGTGATTGTGTATAGAGGTGAGCCATGTCTGCCTACATCACCATTGTTACCTGAATCATCATCCTTTTTGTTATTGTAGGTGGAAATAGATGTAATTCAGGGTCTAGAGTCAGCTCTTGCTGTGCAGCAGGTTCCAGTGGTACCTCCTTTAAGACTTGCCAGATGGGAATTGCTTTGTAGCTCACAGGGCTTTAGCTGAGGGGCTGGACCTACATAATTTCTAGGTGTTTCCCAAGTCAATTTTCACTGCTTTCCACTGGCAGAGGAGCCGCTGCTAGAGGCCCAAGTACATGGAGAGGCCCAACTGTCATCTCCAGTGCTACAAGGGCTAAGGAGGAGGTCCACACGCTGCTCAAACTTTCTGGATCACATCCAGAGGTGGAGGTGGGATGCTAAACATTGCTCCTGGAGCCCATGTCTTATACTCCACCTCTTGAACTTGAGGTAGGACCTGTGGGACATGGAAGTTTGCATTTTCAGAGCGCCTTCACTGCTGACATCCACCCCCAGCCAGCCTGCTGCTTCCCAGGTTTATTCAGCCTGGGCCTACACAGCTCTTCCATCCTGTACTCTGGGTCCTACCTCAGCTCCAAAGACACTTCCTTCTGGGTTCTTCTGTGTCTGCCTGGAGCAGATGTAACAGTTCTCAGGCCTGCTCTACCATAGCCCCATGTTCATACCTTTCCCAAGGTGCCTTACCTTTCCTCTTGAATTCCTGTTATCCTTGTACTAGGCTTGTCTCTCCTGAGGATTATATATCATTTAGTTTTATATTTGACTAAATTGCCATTTATTAGACAGATCCCTGTTGAATAAATATTTGGAAATAAATGTTGAGTTTGTTTGAGACTGATTCCCTTCTACTCTTGAGCAAACAGGCTAAATGCTTGTTGAGGGAGCTTGTTGATGTTTGCCTCTAAGAATAGCTGTGGTGTGTTGGAAGGCTGTGGAGCTGACTTTTAGGGTCACTGGACTTCCTGAAGTGCACTGATGTGTTTCAGGAGTTGAAGCAGTGCCTTTTGTAGGGTAGATGTAAGCTGGCTTTTGAGTACTGATGTAGAAATGTTATCAGGTCTGTAATCAGAGACTGTGCCATGTGCTCCTGAATCATACACACGTGTCAGAAATCCAGGGATGTTTTGGAAGTGTGTAAAGGTACAGCTGTTGTTCCAGACACTGGGGAATCTCTTGTTTACAGCAAGCAGGTGAGAGCTGTGATTTTCCTCCAAATTGTTTTATGCACTGTAATCCAATCATGTGTCACTTTTCTGCGTAAAAGAGTTGGAAGCCAGCCCATGGGAGGTTCTTTCCTGCTTGGCCCAAGGACTTCGGTCTTCCACAAGTTGTCATCTTCCTCATTCAATTCTCCTGAATTAATTTCAGCACACATTTATGGAGAGCCTGCTGTATACCAAACAAGTACCGCGCTAGGCACAGGAGGTTCAGGGGTAAACTGAGGGACAGTCAAAGAAGAGAGTACTGGCAGATAGGTCCAAATCTCGTGTTGAGCACATTAGACAGATCCCCATGCAATGCAGTCACAGTACCAGGGTCGGGGTGAACAAACACCCTTGGGCTGGGAGTGGGAATAGGCAGAGCATCCAGGAAGACTTCTTGAAGAGGTGCCGGGGTCTTCAAGAATAGACGAATGGGGTAAGGCATTTCCAAGCAGAGGTGTGGAGATGTGTTCCCATCTTTGGCCGTCACCGTCACTGCCCTCCTGCAGTGAGCTGAGGCAACAGAAGTCAGGGCCTTGAGGGCCTTGCTTTCCAAGGCCAGCTTCCCCGGGGCCAACCAAACACAAAAATCCTGAATTCTTTGCCCCAAGACAGTGCTTCTCATATGTTAATGTGCATGTAAATCGCTTGCCCGATCTGATTAAAATCCAGTTTATGATTCCTCAGTTCTGAGATAAAGCTTGAGATTCTGCATTTCTACATGATGCCAATGCTGCCAGTCCATGAGACCACATTTTGAGTGGCGAGGTTATAAGAAACTTCTCCCAGCTTGAGTTCCTCACATCAGAGATGCCATAGCAGCATACCCTCCCCCAGTACACACACTGGGCTTCCCCTTTCTTCCCCTTCCCTAATATACAGAGATGCCAAATTCTCTTTAAACACTGTTTTCATTTGGTCATTCCCACCCCTACCCAGATGAGCACCCCAGAACTGGGGGGCTACAGCCTTGGGCATGGGCAAGGGAAAAGCAAGAGAAGCGCCTGAGAGGGCTGTCATTTCTCTGTCATCACTCTTGACTCACTGGTGAGCTCCTGGAGGCAGGAGCCTCCTGGTGTCTGTTGCATCCATCCTTTGTCGTGGCGGGTGCTCAGCAGCCCTTGTCCAGTCCCATCTCTGCTGCTCCCGCTCCCCTTGCTCTGGCCTCCTGGTGGCTGCCCAGCCGGAGCCTTGCACTTTGAGAGATCAGATTCCAGCCGTCTTGTGAGAACAGTAACGTTGTCTTCCTTCCTCTCAATCTCCAGAAATGTCTTTCCTCCAGGATCCAAGTTTCTTCACCATGGGGATGTGGTCGATTGGTGCGGGGGCTCTGGGGGCTGCTGCCCTGGCACTGGTGCTGGCCAACACGGACATGTTTCTGTCTAAGCCGCAGCAAGCAACCCTGGAGTATCTGGAAGAAATAAACCTGAAAACACTGGAGAAGGGTAAGCAGTGACCCTTCTGGTCTCAGTACTTTTCCAGGGCACTGGGATGCAGGCTTACTTAACTTTTTTTCTTTGTAAAATAACTTTTTTTTAAATTGAAAATAATATAACAATATTAGGAAAATGTAATGCTTTTAAAATGAGTGATAATTCTGTTATCCTAATAATAATCATTTTAATTTTTGCACATTTTGCATATTATTATATATTTGTGATCTGAGTATATATTTTACAGCTTAGCTTTTTCTTACTAAAATCATTTTTCATTTTCTGTTTCTCTAACTATAATGATAATTGCTCCAAAATATTTAGTAATATTGTACCACTGCTTACTAAACCAATCATTCCAGAGTGTGTTCTGAAGAATTTGGGCTTCTAGATCTTCAGAAAATAGGAGCTCCCAAGTCAAAAAGTTTGAGGAACACCATGTGTCCAATTCCGTGTTCCTGATGTGCAGCACAGGGATTTCTCATTGAAAGGAGGTGTCCGGGTTGTTACTGGTACAGGCATGGCCAGCCCCCACCTGTGGTGCATGCGGCTGCAGCACATGGGGGACCATGAGGTGGCACTTGTAGAACAGACCTGCCTGTCTCCCTCTTCTTGGGGAGCCCCTGGGAGTCCCTAGAGGACAGCTGAGAGCCACACGTTTCTGTGGGTGAGCTCCACTGCCTTACTGCTCTTGGCACTGGATCTGAGGGGATTTCTGTCACGCTGATAGTGTGAGTATAGTTGATGTGTGAATTGGGTAAAAGTGGGGGCTCACTGACTGGGAGATCTCTAGGTTGGCCCCTCAAATGGAGGCTGTTGTCATCTGTTCAGTAAATGAGGAAGTTTGTCAACAGAAGGCAGGGACCGTGACTGATTTACGATGTAGGTCACCTTTCTAAGGGACTAAGAAGCCCTGCAGAGAGAACTGTTGTGCTTTGTGTAAGCCAGGGATTCCCAGTCTCATCCCCTGCCCCGACCCCCCAATTTTAGTATAACATCCCACAGGGACATGGAATCCTCTGAAAAATGTTAATAAGGTTTCATACTTACCAACCCCTCACTAACTTTGTGTCATCAGACACTGTGGTGAGCACTTACACATCCATCTGTTAATACTCCCTGCAGCCTAGTGCTAAACATCTGCATTTACAAATGAAGAAACTGAGGTTCAGGGGGGAGTCACACCATGTCCAAAGTCACACAGCTAGCTGCAGACTCACTCTGTCCCGGGAACTGGGCTTGGCTGCAACTGCAGTGCTACCCACACATTTCCTCATTGGGTGTCCTCTCCCCTCCCCTGTGGATAATGCTGTCGTTAACGTGCTTAGGGTAAGTTTTTTGTTTTGTTTTTTGCTGTTGTTGACTTAATACCTTTGAATACTTTTTTAAGAGTTGGGGTTTTCTCAGCCGCATTCTTCCAGAAATGTTTTAGTTTGGGTTATTCACATGGGCAAATAGATTTTTTTGGAGGAGAGACATTTTGGGTATATATATGATAGGATCCGCACACTATATCGATTTTCCTCAGAGGGTGACTATTTCCTCTCTGTGTCTCCTGCTTGCTTTTCCCACATGTGAAATGCCTGTCCAGGTCCTCTGGTAGGCCTGGCGCCATCGATGAACTGCTGAGAGGGCGGGGTGGGGCGGGGCAGGGATGGGCAGAGATGATACCGAATACCCTTTTTTTCTCCCCAGAACCAAGGACTTTCAAAGCAAAGGAGCTCTGGGAAAAGAATGGAGCTGTGATTATGGCTGTGCGGAGGCCAGGCTGTTTTCTCTGTCGAGAGGTGAGTACCTTTGAAGAACTGGTCAGAGAAAAGGATCTTAGCAAGTGGGGGGCCAGCATAGTCCCAGCCTGGGTCAACGATCTGTGGCCCACGTTAGCCTTTGATCAGCACTGGTCCATTTTTTTATTTGCTCTAAGTATTTCTTTGACTTACTCTGTTTCTGTTCACTTAATTACTCACCATGTCCTGGGGTTAGCAATATACTTCACTCTCCTCTGTTACTCTCAAACCCTTGCACTCCTGAAATATTTGTGTCCTGGACTGTCTTCCTGTTGAATCAAGGACGGGGACTGGGTCCCATTCCGTGTTCCTGATGCTCAGCACAGGGATTTGCTCATTGAAAGGAGGTGTCTGGGTTGTTACTGGTACAGGCATGGCCAGCCCCCACCTGCCATGCATCTGTGGCACATGGGGGACCACGAGGTTGCACTTGTAGAACAGACCTGCCTGTCTCTCTCTTCTTGGTGAGTCCCTAGAGTCACTGGTAGACAGTCAAGAGCCACACATTTGCACGGGTGAGCTCCATTGCCTCACTGTGCTCCTGGTATTGAATCTGTAGCTTGGGGAGGTTTTAGTCATGCTGATAGTGTGGGTACAGTTGGCATGAGAGTTTGGTGAAAGTTGGGGCCCACTGACTGGGCAGTCTCCAGGTTGGCCCCTCAGAAGGAAGCCATCATTGTCTGCTCAGTAAGTGAGGAAGTTGTCAAGGGAAGGCAAGGTCCAGCCTTGTCACTTCACAGATAGGTAAACTGAGGGCCAGAGTGGTTTGGTCACAGAAGTCAGTCAGTGGCAGAAGATCCAGGTTCTGCGATCACTGACCTGCCTGGGGGAGAACCAGAAATGACAGTCCTACTCTTGAGACAACTGTGCTTCTCAAGTAGTGGCCTTGGCCCCATGCAAGTCGTCATCCTCATCCCTCTTGTTGTCCTCCTAACCCTGAAGAATTTCTTTCAGCCTTGCAGATCTCTCCCTAGCTTGTGTGGTTGGGCTGGCAAAGAAGCGACTTGGTGACATGATGCCCTGCTGTACCTTGCATTCAGGGCACTATTGTGCCCGCTACTTCATTTGTTCCTCACCATATTCCTGGAAAATAAAGTTTGTTGTTAGTCACATTGTACAGAGGAGGAAACTGAGGTGCAGAGGTTGTGGCCAAGTCACACTGCTGCGGGGAGGTTATTAATTTTCTGTTCCTGCTGTCACAAACTCAGTGGCTTTAAACAATACAAATTTATTATCTTACAGTTCTAGAGGTCAGAATTCGGAAATGGGTCTCTTGAGCATTTCTCCTGGAGGGTGTAGGAGACACGGTTTCCTTGCTTCTTCCAGCTGTAGAGGCACGTGCAGGCCTTGGCTCGCAGCCCGGTCCTCCATATGTAAAGCCAGGAGTGGCTGGTCAAGTCTTTCTCACGATGCAGGACCGTGACACTGACGTTCCACTCTCCTCTTCCACATTTAAGGATCCTTGTGATTCCACATGGGAACCACCTAGGTAATGCAGGATAATCTCCTTTAAGTTCAGCAGACTGGCAACCTAAATTTCATCTGCTGCCTTAATTCCCCCCCAGCCTTGTAAAGACACATATTCACAGGTTTCCTGGATCAGGATACAGACCTCCTCAGAGGGTGTTATTCTGCCTGCCGCAGTTGAAGGTCAGAGCTTTTGATTCTGAGTCTGTGATACCTCGGAATACCAACATGGAGGCCAGTTGTGACTTGATTTCTCAAGCCAGTTAAACCCAAAAGGTTCCAAGAGCAACTGCTCTGTGTAGTTACAACTTACTTCCTGTGCTCTGGTCTCTGCCCTGGCAAAGCATTTTGCAGAAACTTATGTGTCTAAGAGCATGGTCGGAAGGCAGTCTGAGCTATTTTGAGTGGACTGTGGAGGACGCATGTGACTGTCCACTTCATGGATTTGTCCAGTGACACACTCAGAGTAAAGAGCCCAGGAAAAGTGAGTTACACCTTCATTTCACACACAGGTGGCCTTTGGCCACATCAAGCCTGTAGTCCTCTCTGCTCTAGGGCCAACTTTGCCACTCACCAAAGCTCTTGACGAAAGCATTGTAATGAATCCTGCTTTGCTAGCCATCCCTTTTTGTTTTATTCTAGAAAATAATTAAAAACTAATGTAGTTGCTATATAACAAACAATGTGTGCATTGGAGGCAAGTGGATGGCATTTGAAAGGATTTCCTGCTATTTCTTTATTTTGACACCAAATATGAAAAAGGAATTTGTTCTTAACTTCAAAGCCTTACCATGCACAGGCAGCTTCATTTAGTCGTCCAGTGTGCAGTTCATGCAGTGGGTGTCCAGGACGTCTGCACTTCTCAGCTCAGCTGCTTTCTCCTCATTGTCCACCTTCACCTTCAGATGTCCCCCCCCCCTTGCCTTCTGTATATTCAGCCGTGAGCCCGGCACTGAAGGATACGAGAAATGGGAGACGTAGTTTCTAACTAGGAGACACACTTAGGGACGTAGGACACAATGTTCAGCAATGATAACACAGACTCAGTACAGAAAAAGTCACCAAGCAGAAAAGATTGGATATGCACAGAGAATCAGAGCTTTACTCTAGGCTGGACTAGCGACAGAGAACAGTTTAGAATAGAGATCCCTTCCTGGAGGGTGGGGTTTGAGCTAGAGAAAGAAGGTTATTGAAGTGAGGGGAAGCTAGCCGAGCAAAGGTATGGGGGCAGCTCTCCCCATGGCCTGCATGGAGGTCGTCCCATAGGCCCGTGTGCTTTTCTGGCCTCTGCAGGGAAGGGCTAGTTACAGGGTGTCCAATCCATGGCCCACCACAAAGTCGTAAATTTAAACCCTTCTTTTGCTCATCAGTTTTCATTAGTGTTTGTGTATTTAACGTGTGGCCCAGGGCAGCTCTTCTTCCATTGTGGCCCAGACTTGCCAAGAGGTCGGGTACCCCTGGTAGAAGAGTTAGACGAGAAGCATCATAGCTAGAAGTAGAGCCTCATGTTTGAGTGCCACCTCTTAGTTATTGGATGCTCCCTGGGCAGTGGCTAGGACAGCCACAACAGGAGCCCAACCTCTGCTTCCCACCAAGGAGAACACAAGAAGCCTGTGCTGAGGATGGGACTGATACCCTATACCGAGGCCTAGTGCCCAGCTGGGACAGTGTTAGGCTGGGCTACACAAGCCTTAATTGTTTCTGGCATTTTATTGTCTTTGTTCTTCTCCATTCAGTGCCAGCCATGCACTGGGCCTGTGGGACACGGGGTGTTGGCTGGCCACAGATCCACAGATGTGTGCGCCCCTGACCTGTTTCCTGTTTTCTGCAGGAAGCTGCAGAACTGTCCTCCCTGAAGCCCAAGTTGGATGAGCTGGGTGTTCCTCTCTACGCAGTGGTGAAGGAGCAGATCAAGACTGAAGTGGAGGACTTCCAGCCTTATTTCAGGGGAAAAATCTTCCTGGATGAAAAGGTACAGGTGCCGTGAGCCTGTCAGACACAGACTGGTGGAGATTGTGCTTAGGTGTAGAGAGTTTGGTACCTTATGGTGAGTCTGACCTCTAAAGCACCCCTTCAGCTGCCCTGACCTTCCGGCAGCCTTCCCGGCCCTCTGAACTTAGCTTGATTGCACACTGAAAAGCTGTCCTTTTAGGTATTAGTTGAACCCTTCCTGAATTGTCACTTGGGAATGGGAGCCTAGGATGTAGCTGGAACTGCATTGGGTTTTCCCCACCGTGCAGGTGGAGGCCCAGCACAAGCCCTGCCCCTTAATTTATTGCAGTCGTATTTCTTTCTCCTCTGCTCTCACCACTGCAGAATGTTGGACTGTAATCACCCTGTCTGGCACGAGAACCCTGTCTGTCTCTAGCAGCAGGTCAGGGTCAGAGCTGAAGGCTTCCTGGGTCGGGCCTGCCTTCAGGTCGGCAGCTGTTTCCTTTGGCAGTTGAGAGAGCCCCTGGGTGGGGCTGGGTAGAGCCCCTGGGTGGAGTCCCTTGTGGGAAGGACACGGGCCAGCAGGCTTTGGGTCTTTGTCTGAAAATCAGTGCCCTGTTGGGAACCTTTCCCCCCGGGGGAGGCAGGCGCACAGCCTACTCATGGGGTCTGTCCTCACTGCTGCAGAAAATGTTCTACGGCCCCCAAAGGCGGAAGATGATGTTCATGGGATTTGTCCGGCTGGGTGTCTGGAACAACTTCTTCCGGGCCCGGAACGGAGGCTTCTCTGGAAACCTGGAAGGCGAAGGCTTCATCCTCGGGGGCGTTTTTGTGCTGGGATCAGGAAAGCAGGTAAACTCCTAGTGTTCACATGTGGGTCTGTGGTCGTCGGTGTCTGTGAGTGTGAGCACGAGACCCCAGTGGGGAGTGACTTTCCCTACTCAGTCTCCCAGTCTTCCTTCCAGAAAGCCAGGGAACAGGAGGGAGGGAACGGGAGAGAAGTTGTCATTCATCACACATCTCACTCTTCACAGTAGCGTTATGAGGTTGTCACAGTTTTGCCAGCCAGGTGAGTGCCGCACCCAGGACCACAACTCATCAGCGGCCCTGCTGGGGCCCGAACCCAGCTGTTCTGATGTCAAGTTCTGTTTTCTGTGCTTGAACGAAAACATGACTTTTTTTCTGTCAAGAATGGACTTCTTTGTAGTGTTCCCAGGTCATCAAGGGTGGACAGTAGAGAAAAGTGAAGGGAAAAGAATTTAAAATAGGCCAAGTTAGGGAAAGGAGCAAGGAGATGTGGGGAGATGGATCTTTTCATTGTGGGGGTCCTGGTTTCAGAGCTGCCCCTGGAGGGGTAACAGACTTCTCATTGCATGGGCTGTCTTGGGCCCTGGCTATGAGCATCCAGGGTAACTTGGGCCTATGGGAAGGTGTGGGGAGGTGAGGACTCTGTGGGCCCAGGGGGTAGGTGGGTGGGTGCTCCCTGTCAGACCATGGGCAGCCATGAGCCATGGCGGTTCCCCTGCACTGGAGGGCAGTGCCAGCAGCAGCCAGGAAGACGCAGGGCAGGGATGGGGTAAAGCAGATGCAGCCTCGAGGACCTGGCAGGGGGACCCAAGACTGGGTTCTTGACTTCTGGCCTGTTCTCTGACATTCTTAGCATGACACGAACACTTGGCTTCATCTGTGAAAAGACGGGGTTGTCTGCAGAGGTGGATCTCACTGTTAACATTGATAATTACAGAGTACTCTTCCTAGTTTAGGAGGAATAAAAGCTAATGGGAATAGAAATTTAAACTTTATTTCTAATCTCTTCCTGTAAAGCTGCTATTAGTGATCTGTATTAGAATCGAGCATGAATTGGTGTCTGATTGAACGTAAACCTATTTGCTGACTTTCTGCAAAATATCAAAGTGTCATAGTGGTAGCTTCTGCTGGTGCTCCTATACGTGATCTCTTGTCTTCTTCACAGCCAGTCTGGGGTGTTGGGTATTTTTATTCCCATCTCCATGTATGGAAGTGGGCCTAGACATTTGAAAAACAGGGAAAAATACACAGCTAGTAAGTGGAAATGAAACTCAGGAACTCAGATCTGTCCTACTGCAGAAACCCTGCCCTTCCCTCACCCATAGCCGCTCTTTAGGAATGGTTCCCAGAGACCCCTTTCAGATGCACTTGCACTTGGGCAGGCCACGTGCTTATAGGATCACTCAGCGTCATCCCACTCTGTCACTCTGGGGTTCCTTCCTCCTCCCTATCCCTGCCTTTCCTCAGCCTCCAGGGCAGGGCTTGGTGCACCTGCCAGCCTACTCTTGCCTGGAGTGACTCAGCTGGTGCTTACGGGCTCTCCAAGCCTGGCAGGCAAGCCTTGGTATTGTTAGGTGTGGTGCTTGGCTTTGCTGGTGCTCCCTGGAGCTCCCTGGAGCTCCTGCCTTCTTCCTTCCTCCCGGAAGGCCGACTGGCTGGCAGAGCTTCGGGACCGGCCTCCATGTTTCTTGGAAGCAGTTTTTGTGGTCCCGCTGTGCCAAGTGCCATGCAGTGGGGATTTCCTTTGTACTGATCTTTAAAGCATAATTACTTTAATGAAGTAATGTGTTTTCCACATAAATAAATTGAAAACGAAACAGTAGAAAATAGGGAGCGCTGTTCTCTATAAGCTCAGCCACCACGGACAACCTGTTAGAACAGAGCTAAGCCGAGAGGCCTCTTGTTTTCAAAACACAGTCAGTATCTTACCAAGCTAGATTTTTTTCATTTTACAGTATATTATGAACATATTCCCATGTCACTTATACTCTTCCTCAGGATTTTTATTGTCTGGATACTGCCTCATTGGGCAAGGCAGTACAGCTTCCTGACCAGCTTCCCTGTGGTCACCACAGTGTGGTGGGATTTTCTGTTTTATTTAAAGTACTTATAAATAATGGCATAGCAACAGCTGGTTTTTTTTTTTTTAATTTGAGATGCATTCTCAGATGTCATGGGCCAGAGAACTCTTTAACAAGGATTTCTTGATTTTGATCATGAACACGTTTTATCTTTCTTAACACTACATAATACTTTGGGGGTGTCCTGCGTCTTTGGGCATTTTTCATCATAGTATCAGAGGTACGGGGCTCCCAGCTTCTTAGGAAAACTTAAGTGAAGAGAGGGTCTCCCTTTTCAGATGGTCGTTCAACCCCTGCCAAAGGCTGACATCTGAGCTCCATGCCTGCACCCTCAGGCTCATTCAGTTCCCTTTGCCCGGGAAGGCTCTTTCACCTCGCCTCGACTTGTAGGCGTGCTGGTCGCCTCTCCTGCTGTGAAGCCTTCCCGGATCGCCCGATTAAATTTGATTACTCCTGACTTCCTGCTCCCCCCAAAAGCTGCTCGTACAGTCCAAAGATTATGGTGTAGCTGTCCCCTGATCTCCCTTCCCCAAAAGACTAAACTCCTCGAGGGAAGTGCCAGGCCCGATTCTGGTCTCTGCCTCCTGCTGCCTGAGGACAGGGCCTAACAGGCTGAGGACAGCTGCTGCTCAGTATCGGTCCCCTGACCCAGTGACTCAGAATGAGGATTGATGTTCCCTCCCTTTCCCTTGCAGGGCGTTCTTCTTGAGCACCGAGAAAAAGAATTTGGAGATAAAGTAAACCCACTTTCTGTTCTGGAAGCTGCTAAAAAGATCAAACCACAGACTTCAGCCTCAGAGAAAAAGTGATTGTCTGAAACTGCCCCGCTCCAGGAGACTGAGGGGCACTCACCTGTGTTCTTCCGATGTTTGTACTCGTGTCTCTGAAGATTTGGAAACCCACTCATGCCGTAGTCTCAGTGTAGATCGTTAAGGTATTTTAATACTTACTCTGTGTAGGCTCAGTAAGATAAAGTAGCCCCCAAAGAAGACTGGTAAAAATCTAAGAAGTGAGTAAGGGATGTTACAGCTAAATCTGGAAAATAGGAGGCTTAGAGTTGACTGGTGTACCTCATTACAAACGTACATAGTGTTTGAGGTTCTGTTATTTGAAATAAGTTTAATTTTCCTGTCTTTAAAAATCTAAGAAAAGTTGATGGTTGACTAGAAGATTAAGGATATAAGGTTTTTTGCTCATGTATTGTATGTTAATGATTTACTGCATAGTGTTGAAGTAATACTTACATAAAGGAATTGATGTGCTTTGATGTGCTTTGGATGACTAATAAAGATAGACTATAAAATTAAATCTATTTTTGTTCTTCTGACCTCAGGTTTGTTTTTCTAGAAGAAATGGTCATCTGGCTCTAATAAAAGTATGCATTAGAAATTGCCTGTAATACAAGTTTTTCTGGTAAAGCTAACAATAAAAATATTTACCATAATGATGGTTGACTTTAAATCATCTGTGCCAAAGACACTGACTGTGAGAAATCCTTGTTCTCCGTGCATATGGGGTGAGGCGGCTGGTCAAGGACTAAGACGGTGACTGGGTTTGGCTTCCTGTGTGCGCAGGTCTGGAAGGGGCTGGGCTTCTGCAGACCGGAGGGAGTAGTGTTCAGTGCTCGAACTGGGTCGCTCCAGTGGCTGTGACCCCTGAGACTCCACTGACAGGATGACTCAGATGAGAATTCTTCGTTCCTGGAAGACACTTGACCCTGAAATGGCTGAAGAAGAGTGGCCCCTATAAGGACATTGCAGCAATGGATGCATAAAGAGAAACCTTATATTGATTTTCTTCACCAGCTGTTTTACTCCTGATTAGTATGTGATCATGGAAAACCATGCTGAGTCATGAGATGGGTTTAAGTTCTAGTTTAACCGTGTGACTTCAAGCAAAGCTCTGGCCCTCAGCTCTCTCACTAGTAAAATGAGCATTATAATTCCTGTCTTCACTCAGGTCTGTTTATTAGACGTCACTGAGGGAATGATAGATAATATAAAACAGTGCTTCTCAAGCTTTAATGTACATGCAGGTCACCTGAGGATCTTGTTCAGACAGAGACTGTTAAAGAACAACTAATGCAGACACTAGTTAAAGGCAGTGGAGACACATTTTACTCAGTAGTGAGTGCAGTAGAGGAGAGGCCTCCCTACAGAACCGGGCTCTGTGCAGAGGTGACTGGAGTTTCAAAGGGAGAGGAAGGAGCAGTGCGGGCAAAGGCACAGGGGCTTGAACAGAGTCAAGGTGGTGGAAAATTACAAAGAGCAGGCTGGGGCTTTGGCCAGTGTGATTAGGCTATCTGTGTCTGCTAACTGGCTGACTTACCACTTAGGCTTCTTCCCTCCCACGGGGGACAGGGAGATGGAGCTTTATCTGTCCTGGAGATTCTGTTTCAAAGGCAAGGAAGGCTCCCAGGTCCTTGAGAAAAAAAGACACTGGGTTTTCAGGAGATAAAAACTTACACAACTCAAAAAGAAAAGGATTTACAATTGTAAGAGTTCTTTGTTTGTTTTTGTTTTTAAGTGAATGCTCTTAAGAAAAGGGAGGTCAGGGGCCTACAGTCAGGTCTTTGGCTTGAACCATCTAAAATCTTTTGCCAGGCTTGAGCTTTGGGGGTGGGGGGGGGTGACTCATGGAGGGCTGGGTCTTCCCAGGGGAACAGCCTTGAGCTGCTGGGAGCTGTCCTAGCATTTGTTCAAGTCCTGTAGTGTAGGAGGTGGGAAAAATCACTTGTGCTGAAACTTTCACAGTTCTCAAGACTGGAGAGTCTGCATTTCTAACAGGCTTCAGAGGATGTTGACAGTCTACTGGTCTAAGACCCACACTTTGAGAAGCAAGAATTTCAGTGACACTACAGATCAAAGACAGTATCTATCTGTGGGCTTTGGGTTTAAAGCTTCAGCAAGTCTCTGGTAAGCATTAGCAGATGCCGTTTTCTTTATTTGGTAAACAAATTGAAAACCCACAATAATGCAAACTACTGAAAGAATGCAAGAAAGACCCCTTGATGGAAAAAAAAAGCTAAAGGTTCTCAATTTGGATACACAGAGGAGCCACTGGGGATATTTTAAAAACTCTGATGCCCAGGCCACACCCACAGGCCCATTCCATGGAAATCTCTGGGATGAGACAGAGGCAACAATGTTTCTTCAAGTTCCTAAGTGATTCCAACATGTAGCCAAGGTTGGGAACCATTCTCAAAGAACTGTGTCAAGTTTGAACATCAGAGTTCACACCTTAACGTACTCAGAACCAGGCTGTTCTCAATAATCTCTGATGAGTTTTGGAAAATAGTCTCTAGGTGGCAAGGGTCAGGGATGGTGTAGCCATAGGTGTGGAAGGATCCCAGTCTGAAATCGAACCTTCAAAATAGAGACTATTTGGATAGGCAAAGAGGGTAAAGAGGTAATTTCGTGCAGGATGAAGGCCTTGAACCAAGCTGTGTCTAAAGGGAAAGTTTAGTAGGTGCGGGAGAACAGGGAAGAGTCCAGTCTGTTTCGTTTACCTGGTTGCATGTCCTCTTTCCCAGTACGGTGAGTACTCAAACGCAGTCCCCTTCATATCCATGACTTTTAAAATTAAAACACCAAGGGACAGAAGCGGTGCCTGTGCCTGCCTTTTCTCCCCTTTGCCAGAGCCAGGCACACCACCGCGCTGAGCTGTGGGGAAGCAGCTTTAGGGGGTTGTGAGCATAGAGGGTAGATGAAATCATAGGGTCCAGACTGAACGCTTCTCCTTGGCCCTGGCTACCTTCCCTCCATTCTCAGTTACTCTTGTCCCATGGAACAAGCAGGCAGGCTTGTGAGTTTATGTTTGGGAGGGAAGGGGAAGGAAAAGTCCAGCTTTCACCTCTCAAACCTTTCTAGGTTTAAAGCAGAAAGGTTTGTTTTGGGATTTTTTGTTGTTGTTGTTTGTTTATTAAACAGTTATCATAAAGAATGACAGTGTCAGGGATCCCTAGATTTTGGGGGGTGATTGTTTCAAGGACATGCTTTTTCCGAGCTATAGCTGTGGTAGGCATAAGCAGAGCACGCATGATGGGCCAGGCAGGTACAGAAGGTCAGCAAGGCAGAAAGCCCCAGGTGCCTATCAATGGGCAAAACTGGAAAAAAGACCTTGCCCCAGGGGAACCTTTCCTCCCCTAGTATGTCACTGGTCATGCAGTTTGAACCCCATGACTTATATCACTGGTCATGCAATTTAGACCTCCTGACTTTTCCTCACTAAAGGTAACATCTAGGCCTCAGTTATTTCAGCTGTAGGCCCAGAAAAGCAGCAAAACCAGACAAGAGATGCCAGAGCTGATGTCAGGACCAGCTACGCTAAGGACCTTCCACCCCAGTACCAACCAATCAGTGGAGACCACCACTCTGGAGGGACACATCTGAAAAACTGATAAATATTCTACTGAGATGGTCCCCCGAGACCTCCCCTAAGAGTCCCAACTGCAAGAGGAAACCACAGACCCTCAGGACAAAGGACCCAGTGCGCACTCTTCCTCTGCGGAGCAGCCTGTGCCTTTCCCTTCCTCCTCCTCTTCTTCCACAGACACATGTCTCCTAAACGCTAAGAAGCAGGGGTGTCCAGCCTTTAGGCATCTCTGAGCCACACTGGAAGAAGAGTAGTTGCCTTGAGCCACACATTAAATACACAAACACTAACAACAACTGATGAGCAAACAAAGGTGGTAAGTATATTTACGATTTTGTGTTGGGTCACATTCATAGCCCACCTGGGCCCCAGGTTGGACACCTCTACAAGGGCCCCCCACAAGACCTGCAACCAGGGGAGAGATGGGCTGTGGGAAGCCCTTCTGGGCTAATCCCCTGGACCTGTTCCCAAGGCCCCCTTTTCTCTGACTTCCCAATGAGCTGAGGCAGCCCAGCCTCGGCTCTCTTGTTGCTTCTTCTATGCTAAGCCCTTCCTCATTGCACTGTCCTGCGTGTGATTTTGCTGCAGCCAATACATTCTTGCTTTACTGCACTTTCTCTCTTGACAAAAATTTTTCCTTAAGGCAAAAATCAAGGTCTTGTCATCTCACCAGTAACATATCTGGTCACTTTTCTGTGATATATAATAAAGGTCCGGGCCAACCCAACAAACTAATTAAGAGTAGGAGTCAGTTTTTCCTAAAAGTCAATGTAAGGACAGAAAGTGATATGGACAGGTTGGCCAGGAAGGGCCTCTTTCATAAAATGACATCTGGGCAGAGACCTGAAAGAAAATGGATTTTATGAATATTGGAGGAATCACACTCTAAGCACAAAAGCCCAGAGGTGGGGATGGGCTTGTTATAGTCAAGGAACACCATGAAAGGAGGTATGGCTAGAGCAACAAGAGTGAGGGGCAGAAGTAGGAAATAAGATCAGAAGGTAGTGAGATGCACACCATGTGGTTCTGGCAGGCCGTGGTCAGAACTACTGAATTTTACCGAGACGTGGGAATCCACTGAAGAGTTCAGAGAAGAGGAGTGACATGATTGATATACACTATTCTGACTGCTTCGAGACAATAGATTGTAGAGGGTCAAATGTTCCACCAGGGAGACCACTTAGGATGCTATTGCAATAATCCAGGCAAGAGACAATGGTAGGAAGAACCAGGTGGTGGCTGTGGCGGTGATGAGAAAGCGTCAGAGGCTGCGCATGTCTGAAGGCAGAGCTAAGAGGATTTCCCGAATGATTGATTAGATGTGGGATGTCAGAGAAAGAGGAGTCAAGGATGACTGCAAGGTTTTTGCCTGAACAACTAACTGCACGTATACTTTGCAGTAAAGGGGAGCAGAAAATGATGGGGTAAAGGCAAGGCTTTGATGTGCTACAACAGTTACAATGAGTATTTTGGTGGTATAAAGATCAATTCAAAACAATGCTAGGGAAAAAGAACAAGCTTGAGTATGGTACACTCAGTGGGATACAATTTGCATACATTTTTAAGGCATGACAAACATTTTTGTTTAGCGCTCCATACATTTGTGATAAAGTGTAAAAACACATATGGAATGATAAGCAATGTACAGCCAGGGTTGAGCACCATCTGGCTGCTTCACACCTTTAAAAACCCTATTTCCAAGGCAAGATCCTAGTCCAGTTAAACCAGAATCTCTGGGGATGGATCCAAGTATCTGTATTTTTTCAAAGCTCCCTAGGGCATTCTAGTCTGGAGGAAGGGTGAAATCATTGCCTTAAATTGAGAAACAACTGGAAAATCTTAGAGAAGCACAAGGAATTTATTTTTGTTCCCCCAGAGAGAGGGGAAGGGAAGGAGAAAGAGAGGGAGAGAAACAGCAATGTGTGGTTGCCTTTCACGTCCCCCCTACTGGGGACCTGGTCTGCAACCCAGGCATGTGCCCTGACTGGGAATTGAACCAGTGACCTTTTGCCTCGCAGGCCAGCACTCAATCCACTGAGCCACACCAGCCAAGGCTGCTTTTTTATATTT